TACCTCCGCTGGACCAGCCCAGGACCCCATGATTCCAGTAGAATTTCCGCAGCTTTCCAGCGTTGGGCTCTTTGGACAGCACAAAACCCGATATTTGCCTCTGCAGCTTCGTAGGCGGTGCATCATCCCTTCAAACCTGGGCAGTTGAAAGTTGACTCCCATTGGCTGAGCCAAACACCTCGACGGAAAATGGGTAGGGGTCCAGGGGGTCATCCGCAGGTCTTGCTCCATGTTTCCATTTGCCAGGATTCCATCTTACATACTTTGACCCACTGCCACATCAGCATGTTGCAACCGTTTGCTGGTTGGCAAGTGGGTTTTTTGGCCATCCCTGCTCCGCCTTCTGATCGTCTCTTAAAACTGACCACTTAGTTCAGTCGAAAGTTGAAAGTTCTTGTTTTTCGCTTAGAGGCCCTTGCGAGGAACACTGTCCTGGTGCAGCACCAAATGACTTGCACATACCAGCTGAGGGCTTGCCAACAGGTTTTTGTTGGTACCTTCAAAGCAAAGCGCGTGTCGGCGGCACCAAGGTCCAGCCCTTTGGGCCATATGTTACACCTCATGGCCAATGATGGCCCTAAGGGCTCTGCCGGCTATCCGCTTGCCAACCCTGGACCTGCGTTGCCTCACACTCCCGCCTAAAGAATTGCCAATGTTCCAATAGGTGGAGGTGTATGTATACCCGTGCCACAAAAATCATGTCTGATCATTCTGTATCCTGCAGCATGTTACATTTGGGGTTCAAGAATGTGCGCGGCTTCACTCATGAAAAGCAGCTAAAGACACACATGTCCAAGAGCTCCTCTAATGTCTAATGAATGAAGGCACGCACAAAAACCAAGGTCGTGCGCGAACAACACTCAGAACCAATGGATGGCTCGACTTTTGAGGGCCTCTCCATGTTCAGGGATCCTTACATCATACACCTGAACATTGCCTTGTAAATGGTGGTGTCCTTTTATTTTGGTGGAAAAAGCCATGTTTCAAATTGGCAAAATGTATCTGTTAAGGAGCCCTGATGTTGGGCTTGCCTTTAATGGAACCAAAGGGAACCCCCCCCCATTTAGAGAGATCCTCCTTTTAGAGACAAGCCCAAATCCGGACGACGTAAGAGGCATTTGCCTCGAGGAAACTTAGTAGTGCGTGGATCCCTTGTGCCGCCTTTTGGAGAACACATCAACAAGGGTCACTGTACTGACCTGGTGTATTTGTTGGCCAGAAGAACGACCCGCTTTCCAACAATGATGCAAGCCTTGCAAAAGTCGCAGCTAAGCGGCATGTCACAAATCTCTCTGGATCATCTCATGCTCTTTCTCTCTCTATCTCGCTCTGTGCATATACGCTGTATATATATATATACACATATCTGAACGCCTGAGTCTATTGCCTGAAACCTTCTCCACTCACTTGTAGATGCAACCACATGCCATAGTCAAGGCTCATTGCAGGTAACTTGAGCGAAGCCTTTCAATATCTGTCTAATCCACGAGGATTCTTGCCAAACCCGGTCCCATGAAACTACTTTGCCTTGACATTCGGGATAATACATGACCAGCGGCATGATGGAAGCTTGAGGGGATTTGACAAACTTCCAGGAACACAATGCCGCGAACGGGCACTTGGTCCGAAACCAAACACAAATCCAGGCGGTTTGCGGTAGTTTGTATATACCCTGCATGGAATGTTGTAGGACATCCACCGGCAACAAAGATGTCAAATATGCTCCATCAACTCTGCGGGTCGTCGCAGCAAAGAGCTGCATTTAATAACATCTCGCCTCCTGGTACATCCCAAAAGACATGCCTTGAGTGGAATCACCCCCGAGTGCGGGGTTCCTCCCAATCTGTCACTTGGGCCCTGGCTAAATCAGCTGCTGCCGAAGATGTGCTGCCAGGCAATTTCTTTGTCCGACTGCAGCGGATTGGTTGCTGACTGCAGCGCCAGATTTCAGTTCGTACGCGACTATGCTTTTGCACCAGTCGGGCCATTTACATGACCTCCATTTGCTTAAGTCCCATGGCAAAAAAAGTGAGAGCCAATTTCCATGCCCTTCAAAACCAACAATGAAGCATGTTCTCAAGCCAACGGAAGCTGAAGTTGAGCATACACTTGGGGTCTGTTCTCATGTTTCACGAGTAATGCCGGATGGTCAGGCGTTGGCCCAAATTTGAGAAATTTCTTCATATGTCACCAGCATCAGGGTTGATGATAGTTGCTAGAGTATGACAGAAATGGAATTTAAGGTATCATGCCACTCCACTCCTTCCTGAGTGGACTGGCCAAAAAAGACCCCAATTTGTTTGCTTGTCACAAGAATGGTCCAACCCCAACAAAGTGACCAAACTCCATGAATTCAGGAAATGAGATTCCAATTCAAGCATGTAAACCTTGGAATGATCCATCTGGGGCTCAAACATGGGACTCAAACAAGTTGCTTCAACCAAGAGCTGTATCTTCCGATGGCTCGGCTTCGAAGAAATCCACCAACTTGTTGAATCCGCTTCTCATGGTCCAAGCCCAAAAAGCTTAAAGTCCAGAACTCGAGTGAGGTTCAAAGCGAAGTCCTCCAGATTTGAGAGGCTAGAATGAGGCTACACTATTTTAGTAGGGGAACCGAATCTCCCCAAAAAAAGTTGGTGAAAGGGCACCTAGCTGGGAACCTAGAAAGGAAACCTCAAAGCCATGGCTTCCAACTCCAACTCCAGTCCTTTGAGCTGAGACGGCACGGCGTTCAGCGTTCAGCGGACGGGGGTGCTCAACGACTCTCAGTGTTGGGGCGTATGCAGAACTCAGATGCCGGCCTCCAGGACCCATTGATACACAAATGTTTGCTCGAGCTTTCGTAGCAAATAAGTGCGCGAGAAACGGTAAATGCAAACACATGCAAAACGCACAGATTGCGGGGCGGATGCACACTTTTTTGGAATTGCGCCCGAGTTGCGGAAAATTGCGCCCGAATAGCGGGAAATTGCGATCGAGTTGCGGGTTTGTTTTCTCTCGAGCACTTCACCAAGCATCTAGGCAACCTCAAAAAGTGCTCGAATTGGATTTGAGCAGAAAAAAAAGCTTGAATGCCAAAAACTGTCTGGAGCACTTTTTTGTGTATCAAAGGGTCCTCCAAGCCCAGTGGATTTCCCTGGGGATAAAGGGCATCCTTTTTTCCTTAGAGTTTCAAGAGGAACCCTTCCCCAAGAAAAATAGGAAAAAGGGGGCGGCACTGGGCAACTGGGAGAAAGGTGGAACTTGTTGTGTCTTCATTTAGGATTGCATCTTCTGAATGAGACGGAGGCAACTTATTCTTGTTGCAAGTCACCATTGTTCCATCATTGATGTAAAGAAGTGCCCAGTGAGCAAGCAAGCCTAAAAAAAGTGGAACCGTGCTACTGTGAAACGAACAGGAACTAAAAGAACAGCGCACGCACTAAGAACATTGTCTTCAACTTCAAGACACGACAGTTCATGGTGCAAGTCGCAATCGTGTTCTTGGACATGTTTCGTCATGGAATTTCACCCCTGGCACAGCCGTTTAGAGTTGGACGTACATCTGGGCTTGTCAGGAATAGATCGCGAAGCGACAAGGCGCAGCTCTCTGCCAGAGGTTGGCCAAAAAACCGCCGAACATGGTATTTACCACTATAGTGGTGCCTTCCTAAAATGTACAACTTCCTTGGACTTTGGGGAACTCCCTTGAGCCACGTTAACCATTGACCAGTAAAACAAAACGGGGACGGGCAGCCGCTGGAAGACATCGGGGCTGAGCCTGGGGTAAACCGACACAATGCTCAGATTTTCTGTTTCATCTCTATGGTAGTTTTGAACCCAGACATGCCCATAAGAACTGAGCCTGGGGTAAACAGAAAACAATGCTCAGATGTTCATCTCTATGGTAGTTTGGAACCCCACAAAACACAAACCTGCGTCCGTTGGTTCTTTTCTCGCCCGTGGGTGTCTTTCTCAGGCGCAGCTTGCTGATGTCTCGCTGGGGTGCATCACTCAGCTCTTACAAATTGTATGTGCCAGGGTCAGTGGATGGCCAACAAAAGCCAGTAATCTATGATATGAGGGCCTAAACATACTGTGTTAGAGTATCCTGCCACTCCAGTCCTCACTTCCTGAGTGGACTGGCTAAAAGGAAACCACACGTTTTGCATGCCACTAAACCGATCCAATCCCGAAAAAGTACCCAACAAGTCCATGAACTCAGGACGTGAGGAGCTCCTGTGGGCTCAAAGGATTCCTTCCAGGTCCCCGAAACAGGTCCATGACCATCCAACCTCAGGCGGAAGTGTGACCATCATACTGTGGACACAGTCCACAAACCACGTTCATTCCATGGGAGACCATGTTTTGTTGCTAATTGCAGGGAAATCACTATTCCAGGGTTTCTTAGGTGGTGAAGGATTTCGTCCATCCACAGTATGTGTTGAAAACCAAGGGCCACAAACCAATCCCAAGGTGCGAGCACTCCCCCAAAGTGTTAAAAACGTACGTTTCTCGCGTTGCCCTTCCACCAAAACACACACACACACACAAATGGTTCGTTTTCCTGTTCGTTCGGGGCAGGTGCAAGGACCAAAAATTGAGAATCATTAAATGATGGCAACTATAGGTCCTCCAGTAGAGAGGTTAGAACAAGGGTACCCTTTTTTCTGCAGTCTGTTTTAGTAGGGGAACCCTCCCCCGAAGGGCAAAAGGGCACTACTGGGGGACCTAGACAATAAGACCTTGCGATACAGCAAGTGGCACTTTGGCCGCCGCTTTGCGGGTTGCCCTTCTTGCGGTGACACATCACGAGGGCCGGTCCCTTCCGAACAGCGCCTGCCCTCCTGCAGAATAACGTGGAATCCAAGACCTGTTCCATGTTTAGAGGAAGTTGTGTGTGCTAATTTGAAGGAATAACAAACCCTAAAACCTGTTCCTTATTTAGAGGAGGTTGTGCGTCTTAGGTGTGGATCTTGGTGGGTGATCATTTTGAAATCCCACACGACAACTACTCCAAAGGTTGGGATCCTGCTCGCTCGTGTGGACCGGCCGTGAACATATCTAACCTGCAAGCATCTTCTTGAACCTTGGCTCAGAGCTCTGAATCGTTGGCTGCGGCATCAAAATGCACGGCTTCCCAGTTGACGAGAGACAACATACGCATCCAAATAAAGACACAGAATAAGGGCCTGTCTCAGAAACAACCAGCCCACCAAACAAAAACAATACATATACGCTGGCTGCTTGTCTTTGAGTTTCCCTCTCAAACATGATGAACAACGAGCTACGTCTCCATGTTCGGGATGCATGTTTTGACAACTCCAACCCCAGAATCCCCTTTGGAGGCCAGAAACAACACGGGAACAGAAGGAGGAAATCCTAAAACCTACATGCGTGGTCTGAAAGCTCCCATCAACCACAAAGTTAGCCTCTGTCCAACAACATGCAAGTGGACAGGAGAGATTCCCAGGAGGAAAATAGTTTCTATCACCCTGCTGTCAGCTTCCATGATTCTTGGAGGGAGGGTATGTTGGCGTCAAATGGATTCCTGGACTTGTCTCAGAATGGCCATTTTCCCCCCTCCAACCAAACAATTAAAATGCATGGTGTTTCCCATTCAAATCAGCAGCGAAAGAGGCAGCGAAACTGGCATTCTCAAAAAAGGAGCAACACTTTCCAGCCTGACGCCGGACACTCTTATGGATCAATTGCTTGATGGACCGTCTCTCTTTTACAAGTCCAACCCGCTCAAGCTTCGCGATCTTTGGGTAAGCCTCCAAATCCTAAATGGTAAAGACCATGCACTTCTGTTCACAAATTTGGCTTCCCCTTGAAAGAACCAACCAAAAAGTGCACTCAAGAAGACACACCAAAACATTCGAAGCAGAACTCACAAACGAAAAAGGGGCACAGGGGTGCTAGCTATCAAGCACAGCCAGCGTATTGTTGAAGCGGCCGTTTCCTAACATCGGAACTAGACCGAACCGAACATGCGGGGTCTTGCTTGTAGTGCTGCTTTGGGCTAGCGACAATGCACAACTGGTTGAAGAGCAACTCTTAATTGAGCTTGTGCGCTTTCGTTGACAGAAACGACCCAGTGGCTTACGGCAATAATCAGATGATTGATTACGCGCAGCAAGCCTTGGTCCTGACAAGACCGCTGTCGCATCTGACATCGAGCTCAAACGGCTATGAATTTTAATGCGGAACCACCTCAACAGTGGTTGGTGGGCATGAATCCCGACCTAAGTGATGTCCACCAAAGGGTCCTTAACTAGAATTCATGCCCTAACCTTTCCCCGATTTCTCTGCAGGCCAGTTAATAATTTCTTTAAACAAAAAAAAAAAAAACATCGCCCCCCGGCCGCCGTCTGCAACACTCAATGGAAACCAAGAACTTGCTCTACCAAATGGCCACAAAGCAAGCCAGGCCGGGTATTTATTTCGTCAGCGGCCTCTTCCAAGTGCCCGCTAACACAAAAACTTGCCGTGCATCTCTCTGCTATAGCAGGCGCCAATCCTTAGCATCAAAAACCTGACTTTTTGCAGCCGCCACTACAAATGAACACAACCGAGAAATACAATTCCTTTACTTCGAGCAATCCTCGCCGAAGAGCTTTGCTTAACTAAGCAACCACGCGGTGCGCGCACCGAAGGTCCATCCGACTGCATGCAAGGGCCTCAAGCATGCTGCTGACTGACGCGATAGCGAAGCAACCCGGTCGAAACAAAAATGGAAGCAAGGCAGCATTGACCCCCAACCAATAGCAGAGTCAGCTCTTACCGTAGTCACGCTTCCTGCTTGGGGATTATTTCCTTCATCTAGGGCACTTGGGGGACAAAGATCCAACATGGGCCGACGGCCGACGCTAAAAGGGCGGACGACGCTTGACGGTGAGGCTATGTCGCAGCGCAGCGGTGTTTCGAAACAGGCCCTGTCACAGCATGCGGCGGACGGGCGAATGTACGGCCCGGACGTCACATAAAATCCAACAACCAAAACCCTAACCTGTGGCGTCAGGAAGGGACGCCTAGAAAAACACCTACTCAAACGGGGCTCCGCCAAGCCGCGCGTCAAAGTCCAGCTCCTTATCCTCTTCCTCCGTGGGCCTTTCGTGCCTTTCGTAAATGTCGTGGTCCGACACAGGCAAATTCGCGGCCAGGCCTTAGGTTCAACCCCGACCCAATGATGAAACTCCTTAAGGCCCTATGTTCAACCCACATGAATGGCAAGGACCCGATTTAGAGGAAAATGGTGGTTGCATTGACAAAGTTTTAAAGGTGCCTGAAATCTCCCCAGATTCAACAAGAAGCCTGCCTGATGGACAAACCCCACAAAAGGCACCATGGTAGGTTCAACTAATATTCACTAAGTTGCATCCATACCAACTGAAGCTGCCTAGGGCTATGTTTCATAGCAAACATGTGGCGCTGTTGGGCTTGGAACCTCGATTTCGCGACCCATGGCCCAAGGCCGTACCCTCCCGAAAACAAGTTCTTCGGGTAACTCCAGCAATCTTCCCATCTATACCTGTCAGCTTCCATTGGGAGGGTGCGGTGAATGGTTAAAATCAAAACGCAAGCAGCAGCTTTAAGCCTCGCAATGAAACCAGGAAGGATGAATCCGGGCAAATCTTGAGAAATGACCTCCCGACCACCGGTGCCCACAGATTCTTTGGGGGAGATGCTAGTCGAGGGGCCGTCCAAGGTCTTGCGGATGTCGGACATGCGCACAAGGCCCTCGTTCGCGATGGCGTCAAAGGCCTCCCAACCGAAACCAATGGGTGTTTTTCTAGGGAGCCAAAGGAGCTCAACGCTTGAAGCTTTCGAAAGACACTGCAAATGCTTGAAAGGGTTTTTTCTAGGGGGACCTTCCATTTCCATTCCTTCCAGGAGCATTATTTCTAGAAAACCTCCGGAAACCCAGGGAAAACGGATCCGGGTTTTGGAAAGAACGACGGTTGAAAAGAATGGGGAATCAACCCCTAGAGTTTTGTGTGGCACTTCTTCAAGTTTTGGGGTCCCTATTTTGACGCATCGCTCCAAAAGCACTGAATCAATCCAAAAAGAGAAATATTTGCATGTGCCAAACTAGGGGGAGCCCAAACAAGATGAATTTCGTTTTTGTCTCCTTCTGGCTTCCCTTCAAAGCAAGCTAAAAAGACTAGCAACTCCAAGCACACAGAACCACTTGATCTCTGATTGGCAACCACCCTCTTCAGCTTGACTCTACGCAAACCCATATTTCCCTTTTGAGTGATTTCAACATTTCCATGTTGAGTTGGGGCATTCGAAAATCAAGTGCATACTGTGGGGGTACCACTTGGGATAGATGAAGCCGTGAAACACAATGGTCAAAAAACCACCAGTCCCTGGTGCATAGACGACATAGTTAGATGAAACCTTATAAACAACAAGATAAACCGCTCCATCCCTGGTGCGAAATCGATTTTCTCCATCTGTATTTTGTGACCCCTGCGCAACACGGCGCGAAAAGCCGCGCGAAGCCGCGAAGCCGAAACCGCCCATTTCCGTGCCTCCCGAAGCTCCTCGTCCTCGCGGCGATCGCTGTCCTCGCGCTGGAGCCGTTTGGGCATGGCTTGTAAAAACGGAAACTAGCCTTCCTCCCACTAACAACAAACCACTCCAGAGAAGTCGACAGCAACCAGCGTCGGTCACACTGTTTTCACCACACCGCTGTACAACATTGAGCAAAATCACGTGTGGGAGGGTCCTGGAAGATAATTTTCTTGGAGGGCCCCCGGGGCCGTGCCATGTTAGTGGAAGGGAGGGCAATAGAATAATTCAACATTTTGGGGGTCCTCAGTTTGAAGGTGCGGGGGTTCCGATGCTTCAGGGTTGAGGACTCCCAAACCGCAGAGACAACACTGGTCCCACAAAAACCTAGAGACATTTGAATGAACACCAATGGAAAGACTTGCTCAACTCACTTCCTGAGTGGATGGCCTAAAATGGTCTAAACTTGTCTTTTCCAAACAAGTGTGAAGTGCAGGAACTCAGGAGGTGTCAAGATTTAAGACACAGCCTTACATGGCAAGTGATGCAAACACATCTAAACACCCGAAAGGTGATTTTACGCCCGGGCTCGGGCGCCATACCTTGTCTATATAATTACCAACTCCATGGGTGTGTCTGGACCCACAAAATTGGTGGTTTTCCATGAAAAACCAGCCAAAAAGGGGCTCGACTTTTTGAGGCAGGGATATCCAGGCCCTCACCTAAGACAACTTCCTTGGGATAGACTGAAAAGGGTGTATTTTTGAGGGTACCGTTTGTTGTGGCTTGACATGAAATGGAATGACCTTCCCTGATCCAGGGCTTCCTTTTTTCGGGAATCCCAAAGGGTAGGTTCCCAAAACCCGGACTTGGTCATTCCGCACCTATCGCACCAGCAAGCCAAAAGTATCCAACAAGTATTGGAATTGTCCTTGGGGCCAGCCAAGCGGCTCGTTCTTTTTCTGAGGGGCGCATTTTGTTTGGTGGTTTTGCAGGGGAATTAAAAAGAACACCACAAGTTTGGGGGGCCGTATCAAAAACATCTCTATGCAAGGCTTACCACTGGACTTCTTCATCTCAACGATTGATCTTATGCACCTGACATGCGCACCCATGGATTGTCTTTTACAGCTTCATGACTGCCAACCAAAAGTAATGAACCTGAAACATTTGTGGCTTCCCTTCAAACAAGGGTGCCCTCAAAAAACATACACATATACAATGATACCAGAGGGATCCCACGTCTCCTCCACCATGACCTCCATGATGGAGAGAAAGTCGTCAAACTGGATGCTGTCTCCCACCCCAGCATCTGCCTTCCTCAGGAAGCTTCGGATTGCGTCGACCGCAAAACTTGGCCCATGCAACAAGGGTACAGAGAAAACATATATTTTCAGATTCTGTTTCATGTGGCTGCGCTTTTTGAGAGTACCACTTCAGAGGGTCCCTGCAAAACAGTCACACCCATATTTCGTGTACCCTGAAATATAATCGTTTTTACTCTTGTCGGCCTCCCAAAACCAAAAGGGGTTCGGCCCCCCAAAAGAAAACATTCGCATGAAAGAAACCTTCAGCATATATTTCAATAAACACGGGCCTGTCATAATACCGGGGATTCCTTTTAGGGTTCAGGCTGATGGTCCTAAAAGGTCACAGGCTGTTAAAAAACCTGGAGGCGAAAGCTGCGTCACACGAGTTTTCCCCTGGCTTTTCTGCAATTTGTCATCTCTGGCACATGCTTGGTAGTGAACGGGAGAATTAGGACAGCATTGATTTCATGCATAAATGGTCAAAAACCCAATGCTGGTTTGCATAGTTGCAGTCCAACTGCTCGAAATCTGAACCAGCAAGCTCCAGCCAACGATCACGGCTGAAATCCTTCCCAATGGGAAGCCGATGCCTCCAAACAAGCTACGCGTGCAGCGAAGCAGAGTAGAGTGAAGGGGTTGCTATATTAGGCTTGCAATCGTTGCCACCCGCTGTCCATACATTGAGTCCCCGCTACGCAGCAAGCGGGGCGTTTGCGTGCTCTCATCACAGAGACTCTTCTAGCAAGCTCATGTTTGCTTGGATGGACATGGCTCTCAGACGTTTTTTGCCTGCAACCAACATTGGCCATGCATCAACCTGTGTGCACTGGCATGTGTGTTCGTGTGTGTGCAAGCCTTTCATAACGACGGTAACATCCTCCCCCCTCCCCCACCCACCCCCCCTCCCCCTGCGGGTGTTGCCACAACGTTGCGTTACGCAAACTCGTCGAGCCACTTTTGCAAGCCAAATTGGCTGTCAGTTTCGGCCCTTGCCGTGGCTCTCCAGCTTGGAAAAACGAAGTTTCACGCAGGATTCCCACTGCCGTAGCAAGAACAAGAATAAGCTCTACAAGACGAGGCCCGCACGAGTGCGAGTGCGAGAACAAGAGGCCGGCAAGCTCAACCTGCGGACGCAGTCCGTCAGGCGTCAGAATAACGCAGGGCAGTGTGATCAAGGACCTGTAGGCTCGCCTACGAACGCACGTAGCGTAAAGCCAAGTGTGGAACAACCCAGAACCACGTCTGTTCCTCGACCGGGCCAACCGGCAGGGTGGGAGCCTTTAAAAGCTCACAGCACATATGCTGATGGCGCTCCAATGAAGGGGCTCTCCACTCGTTTAGGTCAGCGTCACGAGCGGCGGCGCGCCTTGGTCTTCCCATCCAAATCAAGCTGCCCGGCACGAACCAGTCAAGTCCGACGCTTATCCAAGTTGTCAAGGTAAGACGCGTCTGTCACCTAAGGCTGCTGCAGCGCCACCTCCGCACTCTTCCTCACCTCGTACTTCCGAACAAGGTCTCCAGCGGCTGCACCAGAGTGGTCTCGAAAATCACTGCCTGGCGGTCGCGTGCGAAAAACGGCATGGCGTCCACTAGAACTTCTCCCAACCTAAAAAGTCTACGCGTCCTTCCGCCAAAGCACGCGGAGGGCTGCCGCCAACTTCCAGTGCAAAATTAGCACACTTCTTTTTTTGGGCGTGTCGGCTTTCTCCTTGGACTCGGTAAACTGCGCGGGTGCGTGCTCTGAGAGCAAACGCTGCTTCCAGGTTGCGGCTCATTAGCTCTTGCGTGTCATTCTTCAGTTGCTTTCAGAACGGGAAAAAGCACGTTGGAAGATCTCGCCAATTTCCCGATAGTTCGGGCAAACCAGGGAGTTCTCAGGCAAAAAGCTCCGGACCTCTTTGTTTTCACGGCTCAGCTTGCGCGCTTTTCGGTCCTACTCTCTCAAACGAATAGGGCTAACTGCAAGCGAGGTTTCTGATTGAAACAAGTGCACCACGAAAATGTTCTGCGGCCGCTGGATGTCGTTCTCTGCCTTCTGCGGCAGCTTCTCTTGGGAACATCGAGGACCATCACCTTCTCCACAAAAAGGGGCCCTACCAAACCATGCATGGAGCTCGACATGTAAGGCTTTGTGGGAGTCTGCACCTTGTACCACCTCTTCAAGTGAGCCCTCAACCGAGCCTTGTCTTGGAAACTGGACACTCATCCGTCGAGAGAATACAACGGCTTTCGAGGGAAGGCCCCCGAGATGCACCGGGCGCGCGCGCATGCGCACTACCAGAAAAAACGGAGGTCCCTCCCAGGAACCGGCAATCCCAGGACTCTCTCGGGAATCCCCGTCTCTGAAGCCTTCTTCGGACACGCCCCACGCGTTCCCGACCAACACGCCAAGCGTCATCGAAACCTTCGACCATGCGCACCATCGTCTTGGTTTCCAACGTTCGGCGCGCATTGACAGAATGGGCTTTAATAACTTGAGTGCTCTGCATCATTCATCAATTCTCTTCTCCGATGTCTGCACAGCGGCGGGAGTACCTTGCCGCGCTGCGAATGGACGATGCGGCTGCTGTTCCATGGGCTGCGAAGAGTATGCGTCATGAAGATGGCCCGACCGACTCAGATTGTAATTATCACTGCGAGGACTCCACTCCGGTGAGCCAGCGGGTTCGAGGTGATGGCCATGGTGATTGTACAAAACTCTGACCTGGGACCCGCAAACCAAGTGTTATATCCTCTCCCGATCAACAAATCGATGTGGGTATGAATTTTAATTCGGGACCCTTTGGTGGACGTCATTGAGGTGAGGATTTGTGTCCACCAGCCACTTTTCAGCGGGTTCCCTATTAAAATTCATAGCCAGGTGAAACAGCGTCGCCTCCTCAGAACTGCCCATGATTCCCCTGACTCCTTCTCGAAATTGCCCCACGTATCCGGAACCCTCCTCGGAACCCTACCTCAGAGCCGCCCGAGACCACCCCGGAGCCTATCTGGGCAAAGACCCCGTAGCTTGCAGCTTTGCACGAAGAAGACTAGCAGATGGTCTCAAAAATCAAAGGCGCTTTGTTTTGGTGGTGGTGAAAGCAAACCAAAGCTACATTTTCCCTCTTGGAGGATACCATGTTTGCGACAAATCTTGCACACCCAGCAAGGAAGAACAATTCTGTAACAAGACCTTGATTAAGGGTATGGATCTCGGGCATGGATCGCAAGGCTTACGAAGGTATATCGAAAAAAGGTGTGGGCCCAGACCCTTGATCTATACCTTGCTTTTTGACCCGCAAACCTACCTGAAAAATGTTTTGCTGTTGACAGTTTTTCTGCTTATTGGCTTACTTAGTCCGAGATTCCAGAACATGCGCAAATGTATATGATATGTTGGCATGTATTGTGTCAACGCGCACTTTTCGCCGAACCACCAAAACCGAGCTCCAAGCTTTTGTGGCTGGGGACATCATGAAGAGGCAGGATTGGAAACAAGCTTGCACTTGTCGAAATAAGCGTGTTTGACAGGCATGAGCGTGCTTTGTCTGCTTATTTCGGAGAAATGTGGGAAATTGTTCCGTGGGGGTGTGTCTCCTTTCAACGATCACTCCACCAAAAGAAAACGCATTTGAACAGGATCCGAAAGGTGATGTTTAAAACCAGCTAAAAAGGGGGAACCATCATCCCACCAAATAACAATTACACTTCCGAGTTCGCCCGAGAGGTAATGTTTGGGGAAGATACAGGGAACCCGGATCAACCTCAAAACAGGCAGCCGGGGCACACCTTCGCCGCCTCCTCCTGCGTGGGATTTTGGCCCAAGCTCCGCAAGAGCGAGACCAGCTGCCGGCTGGGCAGCCTGAATCGCTCCAAACCGGAGGTTTGGTTCTCGGCGGTCAGATCCCCACCACCCGATGTTTTTTGGGCCCATCTGCATTGCTGCATGTATCTTTTCTAGAGCCGGGGTACCCCCTTCTTCAATGCTTTTCATAAGAAAGCCAACATCAAAACCGCTGCTCGCCATTTTGGAGGCTTCGGTCCAACCTCAAAAACAACGAGCCGCCCATTTCTGTAAGCCAAACCTGGGGCTCGCTCGGCGGAATCGCTCGCAGCCCAGAGCGAGTTATCTCGCCTCCCCGCATCGGCGAAGAGGTCGAAGGCTTCTTGGAACTCCGCGCGCTGCTCCGCGTTGAAGGCCATGGCGCAACTAGAGCTAGGTCCCCCGCAAAAGCACAGGGGCCCCTCAATTTCAACCTTGTTTGGGACCTACAGTGACGCTCGTTTTGGTGGCCACCAGTCTTTTGCACAATTCAAGGGGTGGGGTACCAGGATACCTCTATTCTTAAAGAAACACCCTTCATTTGTGAGCACGTCCCCTGGCAAAACATGTGTCAAGTGACAGATTCCCCTTAAAAAACAACAAGGGAAAAACCATATTCTTCAGCAAACGGAAGTCACCCCACCAACAGGAAGCTCATCTAGTGGTGCAAAAGGTGATGTTTAACCAGGTTTCTTCGCTTTTACGCTTGCGTCTGCAGAACACAGCCTTAGGCAGAGTGTTGAAAACCACTGAACACGGGAAATCCTGAGATCCCCAAATATTCAAACTGTTGGGGAGCTTGTTGGACCCCTAAAAGCAGTTTTCCCAAGGTTCTCCCCCCAAAAAAGCAGTACGGGCCCCGCGATCGAGGGCTGTCGGCGCGTGGTAAACTCATAGCCATGAGAATGCGGTTGGATGGAACCAGGTACCAGCAAGGCAAGGGCAACAAGCACATGGTTGATCACCCACACTGTGGATGGACAATATTATGCATCAGTTTGAAGCCATGGATTGAACCATTGTTTTTTGGTATTTCCAGGGAATCAAATCATTCCAGGGCTTCTTAGGTGGTGCAGGATTTCGTTCATCCACAGCATGACCTTTGCAAGTATAAAGACTCTTGAAGAGCGCTTGAGTTGAACACCCATGCTGCATCTGGAGCAGGCTTAGACACCCAACAACTTAAACTGTTTGCTGGCTGAGCGGCACAACTGAAGGACACCCAAAAAGGCAAATAGGGGCCATGTCTAGCAATGCTAATGACCATCGACACCATCTTCAACACGATGTTTGCAGACTTGTTGGCTCTCGGAGCCATTTGGGCTACAAAGTTTGACAACGTGCTCACAAGCTTAATCAAACTTTAAGAATCCTAAATACACGCTGTGCAAACCTTATTCCGATCCGAATCAATTCATAACATGTTTGCTCACATTTCGAGAGTAAAGCTCTAGCTTCCGAGTACAGGCAAGTCTGAATCCCATTTGGAAAATCCTTCCAGGAACATGGGATCGACTCCTGTGGAGTTGCGCAAATTCAAGCGATTGGCTCACCCACGACTTAGAACCTGAGGGGAAATCAGAACTGACTCTCCATTTGCTGAAGAATATTGTGTATTTCCGCTGTGGGCTTCAAATCAATCTATGACTGGATGCTGTTTTATTTGTCCAGGGGACTTCAGCGAATGGAAGTCTTGAGTTGGTCAATGCCCACTAGAAAAACCCTGTTTAGGGAAAATACCCTGAAACTGGTTTCAAGCAAACTCAGTTTGTGAAAGTTCCGATTAGACACAATCCCTATTCCGATGGGACAGATTTGACATGCAACTGCACCCCGATGGATTCAGGCTTGCTTCTACCAATGAGATCTCTTGTTGCACGCGGAGAACAAAAGGCAAACTGCCCCAACCAGACGTCGACCACAAGCAAAAGCAAAGCCCTGCCGTTCAGGGAAAGTTTCGTTTTGCTTGAGGTAGGAAGCCTGTGTGCAGCCATCTAAAGCAGTCACGATCTTGGATCAAAAGAAGAATACGTGTCTGCTAAGTGGGTGTAGCTTCGTACTCCCAAACCGTCGAAATTGAGCCCGAAAGTGTGTCTGTTTGTTTAGAAGTGCAGCCGAATGTGTACTTATATGCATGTATACAATTAACATGTGGACGGTCTCGTGTGCGGTGTTGACGCCCCCAAAATGGTATGGTCATGTTACATGGATCGCGTCTGCTTCTTTTCTCAGGCGTTCACCTTCGGTGGGCCCAAAGCGGTGACACTAGCGGAACGAGCTCGCATGTTTTCGTTGTGTGATTCCTCGAAACATGGACCATCCTTGTGGAGTCTGTCTCAAAGTAGGCCTATATGTGGTTCTGTCCACGTTGCGCCTTACATAATTCCCTTTACCTCAAGAAGGGGACGGCAAAAGGGTCGTCGCAATCACCCAACTCAGTGGCTCCTTAAAGTCCCGAAACTTAAACTTCCAGCGGGATAAATCCGCTAAGCGCTGAGCTAACCGCCAAACGTCTGAACTGAAAGATGTGACAAGCAAATGAAACAACACTCGACCCCCCCAACGAAAAAACAACAAGAAACAATGCATGAACTCGTTCCATCATATAGCCTGATGGGATGGGATTCAAGTACTATGCTTCCCCCCAAACGCACATCCAGGACGGCATGCCATATATCATGTCATCGTTGCTTCTGGTCCAAATTTGGTGAACCTGGAAAAAGGTGAGTTCATTCAGAATCGATCCGGGACTAGCCCACCCAATAATCGCTACTCGCTCCATTCGAGGGCCGCAGATTTCTGCGGAGGTGAAACGTGGACTCTCATGGTGGCGGGTCCTCCTGCACTGACTCAGAGCCACAAGGGGAGCCATGAGAAGATCATGAGTCTTGGTCCTTCCCCCATGTTGCAGGATACAATGGCGGCGCTTCCCTGCGAAAGCACGAGCATTTGCGACCATAGAGAAAGGGAATCCATCATGTAAAAGATGCAGTGAAGCAACAGCAGCCGGTGACAAGGTGCAGCAAACGGGCCCAAAAGCACAACCCTGGCGAATGGATCACGGGTTGTCCCCTGTAGCGATCCTTCACTACGGAAAACACCGCCCCTACTGAAAGCTCCACTTCGGAAGCTTGGATTGGTGGTTGAAGCTTGGGGGTTCTGTTCCTTTGCCTTAGTCAAGAAGCAGCTCAACTATCCATCGAAGCCACCAATTCAGCTTGGTTTTGGTCTGTCAGAATTGCACTGGGGTCCACAAGCCAGGGAGGTCTGTTGGTCAGGGAAACAACACAATGAAGATATGGGGGAAGCAGGGACTAAGGGACCCTAAAACAACCCTGCAATACTGCTGCAGGGCAACTGCACCTCCGCTCAAAGTTACAAGTGAGGCGGGTAGAAGAAGCATTGGAACCATATATTTTCTGGTTGGTTGATTCCATTTCAAGTGCGTCCCGAACCTAGCCTGGAAGGGATGTGAGGACTCCACTAAACAACCAAATCATTCTGTTGGTTCTTACCAATATTCAGCGCTTTTTTCTGCAAAAGAGAGCTTGATTCCTACTGCAGATGGGTGGATGGCATGGTAAGAACCACATCCATGCTACGCTGTTCATGGGTTCTGTCTCAAAATGGGGAACCCTGATTTGGATAGCTAAGAAAAAAAAGGATAAACAGGATTACCCCTGATTGCGAAAGGCACCCGAACGGATTGTAGGGAACGCGAGAGAGAAAATTCCGGCTCGATTCCAACCAAACAATGCTCCCAGAAAATTGTCCCAAACGATCCTTCTTTTTGTTCCCAAAAGCCAAACGGGGTGTTTGACCGGAAAAAAACAAAAAAAACAAGCAAAAAGAAAACAAAGAACATGGAAAAAAAAACATGGTTGGAAAGCACCTCCGCGAATCCTTGGGGAGGGTTTTGCCAAAAGTCACCAGCCCAGGATTGGGGTTGACTCCAGCGAACCAAAAGAGCTTCTATGGTTTTGTGGCCATTTGGCTGTGGCTCAAAAAACCCGGTACCAAAAATGGAACCCGGGCAAGTGGAAACATGGGTACCAAAACCTGCGGAGCCAGCCCCTCCGATCGTTTAATTTTGATTGCCACACCCGTTTGGCACGTCGAGTGTGTCGAACTGGGTGGACTACCCAAAGGTTTTAAGCGTTTCTTGGTGTTCCTTTGAACCCTCCAAAATGGTAGCCTAAAACAAGACACATCCAGTTCACCCGGTTGGACAATGAATGAATGGACAAAACAGGCGCAGTAATCTTCATGCTATTCGTCTGCCAATATTTCCAGACTTAAGTCGCTGCCTAGCCCAGGCCACGATCAAAATTACTGAGAGCCTGAAGGACATGGGAAAAGTTCGAGAGATTATCTTACTGGATATGTTGATCGAACCTGAGTTGAACAATAAGTCGACTGTTTCAGGAACCCGTCCATTCCTTGATTATCACAAGCTAACTCTTACATCCAGGAATCGGTTGACCACGTCAACCGCTGGGTATCTGCGTCTATGATACGAGAAAACCGTCGGAAATGGTTGACCCCCCTTGTGGTTGGAGGGAAGACCAAACGGGCGGCTTTCAGGGGGAACTAACGGATGTGTGTTTCTTGGGCTCTACTAATTGTGTGTTTTTTTTTTTTTTGGGGGGGGGGGCATAGTTTTGAGATAAACCCAAACGGGACCTGAGTCCTCTTGGTTGGTTGGTTGGTTGGTTGGTTGGTTGGTTGGTTGGTTGGTTGGTTGGTTGGTTGGTTGGTTGGCAGCCTTGTTTGGTTCGTCAGGCGACCCCTTGGTTTGCATTTGGAGCCCTAGAGGCAACTGGGGCACGGCAAGCCGAAGCACGCGTCGTGTCTCCTGAGCCTCCTCCACTGGCGCCGGTATCAGCGACGCCAGCTCGCTCTGCGCCGCTGCCTACGCACGGCTTGGTTCATGCGCCCCGGAAAAGCGGCCGGTCGAACAAATCGGTTCGGGGGCTGACCCGCTCTTTCCGACCTCGACGCTTTGGTTTAGGGGCCAAGGGGGCCTTTGGTACATCAAAGGCCCTGAAGGGTCTTGGTCTATGGGCCAGTTGAAAAACAGGCTTGGGGGTGGAAATCAGGCCACCCCCACGCAACCCGACCAAAGGAAAACATTCACCATTTGTCTACCCAAGTGGGCTGTGACGTGCTTCATTGTATCATCCAGTGGTTGTCCCGTCCTTGGGTCTTCTTTGATGGTACTTCTTGCCTTCTTTTTTTCTGGGGGGGGGAGGCAAAAACCCAAGCCATCTTTGGGGAGCTGCACTATGGTCCACTAAAGACACACCCAGGGCGCGTACAGGGCCTTTGGCCTTCAACCATCAGACGAGTTGAAGTGTTGAAACTCGCAAAACACACCCACACACACACACACACCAAATCATGTGACTTCCTCTCCATCAAGAACGCCCTCCAGCAAAGCACCAAGCAGTGCTGCAGTACTGCAAGGAATGAAGAGAGCAGCCCTGCAGCTTGTTGGCCAGGTTAGGTTTCAAAAGCGAGACACAAACAACAAACCGTCGATCCGATTTGGTCAACAGGCTGGGGCTCGGCCTCTGCGGCTGTCTTCAGGGGGAAGACACCTGGCGATCCCGCTCCATTCTGACTGAGGAAATCAGTTGCCAATGGAACGACAGGAAAACCCTTGGTGCTCAGTAGCAAATGACCTTCCAGGTGTTGGGAATGAACCGTTTGGGGATTCCCTAAAGAAAACCATCGCGGGGATGGTTTATAGGGGTCACTCCATTTCTCATTCGCTGCCTATCGCACCAGCAGGCCCCTTTTAACCTCAAGTCCAAGGGGCTAAACATGCGACATGAAGCCACTGCCTCGACGCCAGGTTGACTGCATTCACCCCGCCGGGGGTCATTTCCTCATATCAGAGTTTCATCTTCGCGGGAGGTTTGCCGAACTCAAAAATGACCTGCCATTGACTCACCATTGCACCTCTGTAGTTGGTCTTGCACACATAGTTTGCCAAGGGTAAGCGCGTTTTACGTGGACTATGCTGACTTAATACAAACCCGGCTCCCCTCGGAGACCGAATTGCCCTAGATGAGTTTCGCAACAGCAGCCGTGCAGCAATCTGGACCTACCAACGAAACAAACACTGCAGCAAAACAACCCGGAGACTGCTTGTTTTGCCAATCTACCACGTATTGAGGGATGTTCTTGGACATCACGTGAGGCCCCGTTAATAGTCATCCCCCTTACTACTGCAATTGACAGCAACTTCCGACCGCTGCTCACATGAGGTATTGAACATGGCGAAACGGCCACTCTCCAGCCCACAATCAAAAAAACAAGTTCTCCCAATCACAGCAACAAACGCACCCCCACCACCCCTGCCCCTACAAAAAAGAAGCCGCCCTTACTAAGCCTCATTGAGAGCACTTTTGCGAGGATTCCTGAAACAGGGGGCCTTGCGCCTGTTGATTGGCTCGAAAACTCAACCCAACCCAGTTGCCTTGGCTATACAGGTACATGGATCCACAGACATCTCAAAATGCGTCCAAAATGGAGAGTTGCCATCCTAATCCAGAATCCCTCTTGGAAAACCACAGCCCAAAAGGGAACACCAAATCCTGGCATAACCCAAGGCAAACATATTGTGGATCCATTTGATGTGTCAAAATCGAGAATCGAACCCACAAGTTGCTGTTTTGGTTTCCCAACCTACCCGGCAAGAAAACAACAAACACCAAAACAGCGGCTTCCCAATCCACCCCAAACACTTTCCCCAGCTACCCCCAACAAAAACCGGAGGTCCCCTGCTCGCCCTTTAAAGGTGCGCCAGTCGCACGAACGGTTTTTTTTGCGGCCCGCGCCTGGATTGGGGAAGAGCTCCTCGAGGTTCCGGCGCCGGCACAGCAACCCCCCATGACTGCAGAGCGCCTTCAGCACCTCGGAGTTCGGGGCTCGAGTTTCGTACTGATGGTTGCGAAATCCAGTTCGCACCAAGGAAATTTGATTGAAACCACAACGTTTGTTGTTTGTTTTTTTTAATTGGGGATCGAATTTGCAAAATCTCTTTCGCACCACCGAAACGTGTGTTGGTATTTGAAGGGGAATTTGCGAAATCCAGTTCGTACCACCGTTCAGAAACCCTGGAAGGATTCGATTCCCCTGTAAATACCAAACAATAGTTTCAACCATGGTTTCCAAGTGGTGCAGGATTTCGTCCATCCACAGTATCTCCAAGGATGGGCCAAAGAAAGTTGAGTACTCCATATGAGTACTGCCCCTGAAACAATCCAACACATGATCTTCCTGAGTGGATTGCCCAGAAAGAAGTCGTGCCAAACCTTTTTTGTTTAAAACACCAAAATGAACGAACCCCAAAGAGTGAGCCAAGGAATCGGATCAGGCAAAATGACGCTTTGACTTGTGGGCCCCAATTAACACCACCCCAAAAAGGGTAGCCCAAACAACAATGTGTCAAAGTAGGAGCCAATCTCAACCAAAGCCAACTAGTCACAGTTTTCGTTTTGAGTCTACTCCGTTCAGCTTGGTTTTCCTGGAAACTGAAAGGAATTTGACACATATCTGTTTGTTTGGGGCTGGGGAGGGTAGGGGGTGGCTGGATGCCTCTTCTGATTGGTTATCACCAGCGTCAGTGTGGGCCATCAATATGGGCAGGCTCGTCTTTCAGGTTAGATCCCCAAAAATGGCTTCAGTTTCGCTTTGGCTTCCCTTTGACATCACAAACAAGGGGTACCATCAAAAAGAAACGCCCACACGACTTCTTTACCATGCCTAATCAGAATTCGAGTCCGCGCCACAGAAAGGGAACTTCAAAGTGCTTTTCACCACAGGGCTCGGAGGTTTCTGTCAAATCTCCATTGCCAGAGAAGATGGGTTTAGGGTACCCCCCCCTCTTGGATGGGTTTTTCACGAGAAACCAACCAGGCAACCGACCCTTGTTGGGTCAGGCTGGGGTTACCATTCCGAACCTATCAACCCGGCTGTTCCTTCCGCTTTGCATGGGTCTCACTTGATCTGGGTGTGCCTTTTTTTGTGGAACCCCCCCAACAAAAAAAGAAGAAATCCATAGTTGGCTTCCCCTTGTACACCACCAAAAAGGGGTACATTCAAAAAACACCCAACTAATCAGGAACTTTCAAGCACAACTGCTTCCCCTCGTTTTCTTTTTGTCTCCAAGGGCATGTACAGTCCTTGTTCATTACTAGTGGCTAGATGCATAAACAGTATACAGAATCATGTTGAAACGTCACAAGGGGGCCTCTCCCATCACACATGGGGCTCAGAGGGCTGGGGCGAACTGCCTGGCAGCAGCGACAGCCAACGAGGGATAGTCCAAGGGCCCCTGAAAAGAGATGCTGCAAGGTGCAAGACTTTTCTGTTCAGGAGATGTGTAGAAAGCGAGCATTTGTGGGCCAAATTAGACCATTCGAGAAACCTGCCACGTGAAGTCAAGCTAGTGACTCAAGAAATATCTAAAAAATCGTGTTCGCTTCACCAAAGGCAAGCATGAAAACAACCCACCAGCACCACAACTGAGTCAAGGAGCCGTCCACTTCAGTGGGCGCGCACGGCCCTGTCTCTCCAAACGAACGAACATGTTCAGATTAACTACATATGAATCGCACTCCGAAAACCGTACTTTTCTATGTAGCCCGGATTCGGGCCAAGAGATGTTGTCTCCAAACATAGGGAGACCCTGCAAAGAGGCGGGGAAACACGAAGACTGTGCGTTGCCTCTTCATTCCCTGTGAGAGAAAATCGAAAGCCGTACACTCCCCGAAAGGCGCAAAGATTCGATAGAAAACCCCAAGGGCCTTAGATTTATTGTTTGGGGCAGGTTTGGTGGGCGGGGGTCCTCAGCAACATGCTTCCCGGTGGTTTGATGTGTGACTTTGACAACTAGAAACAGTCCAAAGAATGACCCCAGAGTTAGCAACTTACTGATGGACAAAATTTTCTGCACCTAAGGACTCTCCCCTGATGCCAACAAACAATGGATTGTCCTGGTTTCAAAGGCGTCTCCCCCATTGCTCGACAACCAGCCATTTTCGGGTGCCAGGGTACCTCTTTCTGTAAATTCACAATGGATATGCTCCAAGCCAGGACCTCCCGAACGCCCAGTTCCAAGGGCTGGGAGGCGAACCTCTCTGCGGTGGCTGAGGCGGTGGAGGTTCAGGGTTTGACTCAAGCCCTGAGACCTGCACGGTCTGCCGCTGAAGCAGCACGGACTCCGAGAAGGCCTCGGGCGGTTTCGAGCGGCGAACGCGTGGCAGTGCTCCACCCTGTCAAGGCTATAGGCTGGGGGCTCCGTGCTCTCTTATCCCCTGCGAAAAGTGAATCAGTTGTGGGTTAAATGGAAACTCCCACTAAACCCTGAAAAGACCAAAACCTAAGGAATCGGATGGAGCCATCGACGAAATGGCAACGGCTTTCCTTTGGTTTCCATTTGGTTTTGTTGACTTTGGGATCCAGTTCTGAAAAGGGGCAGAATGGTAAAGCTTGGCTGTGTCTGGTTTCCTCTAAAACAACCCCAACAACACCCCAAGGGCACCCACGTTGTGGCACAGGGTGTCAAATTCCAACTAAGAGGTACATATGAACCTTGACCATAGTGATACTCAAAGTAGAGGGATGGACAAAACCATGCACCAGTTGGTAGGTGGTTTATCCCGTTATTTTTAGGGTTCATCTATCCCATGTGGTGCAGTTAACCCACCCACAGTATGACAAGGGTTTCCTTGTGGTTTCCCTTGAAGTACCAACTAAAAGCACAACTCTGAGAAACTATTCTGTGTGGATTGACCTCTGGAAATACTAGTGGGTGGACGAAATCCTGCACCTCTTGGGATAGACAAAGCCTATTAGTGCAAGGTGGATTGGTGTAACCATCCACCTAGAACAACAATGCAGCAGGTGATCCCCAAGACCTACATCGCTCGTTTCACCCCTTAATCGGTGGAATCGCTCGGCCTATGAGCAAATAGGATCTGTCACCAATGTTGGACCTTGGTACCCAAAAATTGATGGAACCGTCTTCAGGTCAAACCAAAGGGCAGCTAAGCCTAAGGACTGGACCGCAAGTTGATGTCCAAGAGGGCACCGGGCACCGACTTTTGTCGCAATCCCCGAAAAGGTTGGCGGCCACTCGCGCAGAGTCGAAACCTTTGGAATCCGGGATGTCACAAACCTTCCATCGGTTTTCCCTGAATCACATCAAGGAAGCAATTCGCGCTCAGGAGTGGGAAAATTTAAAGGAACCCTTTCCCTTACCTAGTTGGACTTCCAGAACTTCTTGCTGCTTTCACAATATGAAACGGACTCATTTGCTCATTGATGACTACCATTGCAACGTACGCCATTTGACGAAGCTCGCGTCAGCATGGCCGTTTCGTGTGCGCCAAACTTTTCAACATGTGATGGCTGTTCAAAAGAAGCGGTCCCCATTCAGGACCTCGGCGCTGTCACTACTTCCCCTACAGGGGCTCGCAACAGGGTCCGGGGAAAATAGCAAACTAAAAGGCATCCCAGTTTGACAAAAACGGCGTGCACGTGTTCAAGATTCAGCTGATTGGAAGCAAAGGGTGCCAATCAACATGGGTGCTTCTCAAAACAAAGGCTCACAAGAATTGGCCACTTCCTTTCGGTTTCCGAGAAAGCCCCATCCAAAACCTTCCATTTGCTTGAGCCCCCTGGAAAAAGACAAAGTACTTCCAGCAGTCATAGATTCCCTTTAAAACCAAAAAGTGAAAAACAAATAATCAATTGGAAGAAAAGTTCTACCATTTTGAGAACCCCCAAGCTTCCGCTTTCGGATTGGGAGCGCTGCCACTGTGGCCTCTTCAGGCACCGGGGGTGGTTCTACCTCCTCCTGTGGCGCTTGTCCGCAGCCTTCGGATGTGTAAAGGGAAACCAACAGGAAGACTGAAATCCATTTTGGGGGTCCAACCTGAAAGACCGACACACCGATTTGTTGCTTTGTCTAGTCCAGGTCAGTCAACAAAACCGGAGCTGACTTGTGGCTGCACCAGGATGGCGAAAAAGGTTTAGAAAGGCCTTAGCCACCAGGAGTAGAACCGAGTAGAACCACCTCCTAAAATGGCCATTGGAAGTTTGGGCGCTGATCATGTAAGACCGTATCAGAATTGTGCGCGTTCAATTGTCCGATGGTCACATTTTGGTCTGTGGCCAACAAACACATGTTTTCCCATTCTGGTTTCAGTGACCCGTGCCACTGCGCGGAGAGCCGCAACTTTACGGGGTGAATCACGAGCTTTGCAGAAAGAGGAACCCCCCCCAGGCCTCAGGCCCGTTCAGTGGTAAGTTGAAAAGAAGCAGCCCCATTTTCTGACTTTGACAACCCCCAACATCATGGCCCTAATTAGACGAGTTCTGGGAGGAAGGGGGGCCCGAATATCTCTCTCTTAAATCGCCATATCTTGTGTTGCCAGCCTCCCACAAGTTGCAAGGATTGCGATCACCATGTCAACCAAAGGGTAAGACTTGCAGCCCAGCACCGAAAACAGGGATGCCCTGCAAAGGACCTGTGACATGGTGTGAATGCCAACTCTGTTTGTAAGCCAACGTGTCTGGCTCGGACGTCTTCATCCATCTTAAGGAACGATGTGTCTGCAATAGATGACTGTGTGTCATGTAGCCCTCGAGTCCAAACCTCGCAAGAGATGGCTACGAAAGGCTGGCTTTTGCGACCAGCATTTCGTGTGAGTTGTTCGAACCATGGTTTTCAACCAAGACTTCAATCGCCTTCTGGATTCAGCCAACTTCCCAAAAAGTCGATCCCCCAAATGGGTTCTTTTCCTTCGGCTTCCCTTTCAGACCGAGGCAAGGGGCGACACGCCGATTTCTTGCCCATGGAGCCGAAGTGAATGGCTGGCTTCTGAGGGTACCCCTGTTAGCGTGGGTCTTTATTGGGAAGCTGAGAGGACACCAACCAGATTTGTATATATCTTGGTTACTGCAACGACCCCCCTGCAAAAAGTTGACAACTTGTTGGGTTGGTTTAGTGGAAAACGCAACTTGATCTTCCAAAAAGTTAAAGTCTAAAGATCCAACCCAATAGCAGTCAAGATATAGTATTTCTTGCTTTCGGGGGAAAAGACCACGAAGCAAGAAGTGGCTCAAGTAAAGGAAGCGTCTAGGCAATTGCGATGCGCCAACCTAAGATAAGCCCAGTTGCCCATGGATTCTGCGAACATTTCGCTATAGCTCCGAACCTGAAATGAGGGATCCTCATCTAAAGGACCCACACTACTTCCATGGCGGTAGGGTGCCAGGTCAAACTAAGACTCTCAATACCGCAAACCCTTGAACAACCAATGGGCTTCGGTTATCCAATCAGCCCGTGCTGTTCAAACTGAAGCATGATCAACATTGATCCCCAAATGACATTGGGGCTGCAGAGGTTGTGATTTCCACCAGAACATTGCACCAGTTCAGGCAAAACCTTTCAAATGACCCAAAACACCGACACCTATGATCCGTACACAATGGACAGATTGTGGCGCAGGTGTTGCCCGACCAGCGCGAGCACCCCGACGGAGTGTGTGCATTCAACCAACTAATCTCGCCCCTTGCGGCAAGCAATAGATCTTCATGCTGGCCAAGAGACTGCAATGTTGAATTCCAAAGAAGCGACCCACTTGGACTGAGGGGGTGTTTCTACAGGGTCCCAGCATGCCTTGGTTTATCGTGGACGCCCCTTCAAATACAATATTTTTCCAACAGAAGTGAACTTGGAGGCCCCAAGACAAGGAAAGTAGCGTTCCGGCCAACTATGATTGTCGGAGGGTCAATCATGACTAGAGGAATCTCCTCTTGTGGCACCCATTCGCGCTCCTTATGCGCCGGCCGCGCATGTCTCTTTGCGTGGGTACGTCAAGGAGATGGCGAAACCGACATGCGAGAATTGCGCCATCCAGTTTGATTCCTGCCTGCAAATTCCTAGGAGTAGACAGGAACCGACAA